ATGGTATGTACTCACTCTAAGTGGATTCTAGCCATAAATAAAGGACATTGAACCTGTAATTTGTGATCCTAGAGAAGCTAAATAAGGTGAACCCAAAGAAAAACATATATATATATATGTATATATATATATATATATTTATCCTCCTGGATATTGGAAGTAGACAAGATTGCCAGGCAAAAGTTGGGAGCATGGGTGTGGGGGTGGGGGGAAGGGGAGATGGGGAGAGAGAAGGGAGAAAGGGAGGATTGGGCAGAGCTTGGGGGAATGGGATGGTTGGGATGGAGGAAAGGTGGATATGGGAGCAGGGAAGTAGATATCTTAATTATGGGAGCCATTTTAGGGTTGGCAAAAGACTTGACTCTAGAAGGGTTCCCAGGTGCCCAAGGAGATGTCCCCAGCTTGTTCCTTGGGCAGCAGAGAGGGTGCCTGAACTGGCCTTATCCCATAGCCACACTGATGAATATCTTGCATATCACCATAGAACCTTCATCAGATGATGGATGGAGATAGAGACAGAGACCCACATTGGAGCACTGGACTGAGCTCCCAAGGTCCAAATGAGGAGCAGAAGGAGGGAGAACATGAGCAAGAAAGTCAGGAATGCGAGGGGTGCATCCACCCACTGAGACAGTGGGACTGATCTAATGGGAGCTCACCAAGACCAGCTGGACTGGTACTGATGGAGCATGTGATCAAACCAGACTCTCTGAATGTGGCTGACAATGAGGGCTGACTGAGAAGCCAAGGACAATGACACTGGGTTTTGATTCTACTGCATGGACTGGCTTTGTAGGAGCCTAGTCTGTTTGGATGCTCACTTTCCTAGACCTGGATGGAATGGGGAGGACCTTAGACTTCCCACAGGGCAGGGAACCCTGACTGCTCTTAGGACTGGAGAGGGAGAGGGAGGAGGAGGAGTGGGGTAAGTGAGAGGAAAATGGGAGGAGGTGGAAATTTTTAATAAAGAAAAAAAAGCCACCCAAATCATAAACATGGCTATTATTAAGACACTTGACTTACTTTATACCTAGTTGTCCTGAGAATCTTTTGTGGCGTGGTCCAGAATCCCAGCATCAATGACAAAAATTCACTGAAAGAACTGGGGCTGAGACAGGCAGCAGCACACAACCTATCTTCTCTTCCAACTCCTGCTGCCACTGACAGGATAGCCTGGACCTCCCAATACTCCTGCTTTGGCCTCTCAAGTGGTAACACTGCATGTCTGTCACCCTTGGGTAGCATTTTAAATTACTGCTAGATATTGCCTCATTGTCCCGAGAAACTGTTGTACCAACTTCTATTCTCACCAGCCTTGTGAGAATGTCTTAACCCTTACCAACAGTAAAAATGATCACTCTCCCCCACACCTCTGTCATTCAGTACCAAGGACTGAGCCCAGAACTTGCCATATGCTAGGCAAGTGATCTAATATCCAAATACATCTCATTCAAAGACTATGTGGCTCTCCTTTGTAACAGAGTTAGTAAAAGGAGATAATCTACAAAGTTCTAAAGGCTTGAAAATAACCGCAGATCAAAGATTTCGAAATCAGCTTTTGTTTGTGAATTATTCACCCACACCACTATTTAAGGACTTTGAAAACATTAGATGTGTTATGTTCATAGGAGGATACTGTTATTTTAGATTTCCTTACTATCTGCATTCTTTATCATGTATATGACTGTCCAGTTGCATGGAGGGACCAGAGCTTCCATCATAGAAAAATATGTCCACTATATAGAATAATCTCACTAGTAATTCTAGCAAATAAGTAACTTTTCTAAATTTATTGAGATTTTAATAGGTTTTTGAATGTGGTTCAAACACAGACTTTTGTAAGTGCTAGGCATAGGCTCTATTGTGGTCCTTTCTCCCTAGCTGGAAATAGAAAATATTTTTGGTGACTTTTAAATTCCTATCAACATCATTCAGAAAATCCAAATAACAGATGTTTGTTTAGTTATTAATCATACAAGCTGTATCATGTCAGTCCTGAATTTAAATGTGCTTTTCAATGATTTTATGGATATTTGTATAATTGTTCTAGAGAGAAAAAATAAAAATTATCTTAAAAATTAAATGGCTGGAGATATAGCTCAGTTGACTGAGTTACTTGTCTGTACTCATGAGGTTCAGAGTTCAATCCCCAGCACTGTATAGAATGAATATAGTTCACATGCCTATCATCCTAATACTTCTGAGTCAGTGGCAAGAAGAATAGGAGGTTCAAGATTATCCTTGGCTATAAACCAAGTTTCTAGTTCTAATGGTAGTAAGGAAATATCAACTACCCACTATATAAATACAAAGGATGAAGGAATAGAACCTGAAGCCAAGTGAATATCCTCATGTGTATTTATTTCCCAAGGACCCGAGGCCCCTGTGCATTAAGGTCTTTATCTGCTGACCTACAGATGACCTGTTTCACCCTGGTCCTCCACCACTGAAGAGTTAGCTTCCTATCACACAGCAAAGACCTTCAGCACACAACATTCAGAGCTACAGCTGGGTAAGTCCTGCCCTTAGTCTCTCCGGCGATGTCCACACTGAGCATTGCAGCACTTGTAGAAGGTGGTCATTGGCTCATCTGCGGAACGGGTCTGAAGCTGCATGAAATAGGCACAGGGATGTTCACATTTTGGACATGGCTCTGACAAAGAGAAAAACAAGTCATCCACATTACACAAATACTGTTAAGTATGGGTAAATATCGCATCCCCGCATTCATCCAGACTACTTTGCCAATGGTAAATTTGCCAATAGCAACATCCTACCCACAGCACACCAATACTAGGGGGACTGGAGAGACTGTGACTTTGAAAGCACCTCCATAGTATCACTTTCTTTCTCAAATTTTATTGAAGACTGGCTGGAAGCATAGCATGGGAAGGGTCTTTTATAGTCTGTTTTGTGGGGCTATAACAAAAATACCTGCCCAGTGTGGTAGCACACAGCTATAAGACCAGCATTTAAGAGACTGAGACAAGAGGCTTGCTATAAGGCCAGCCTGGGCTACATAACAAGAGTCTATCTCAAAAATAAACAAATAGATTTAAAAAAAATTAAGCCCCTACTCATTTTTCATTTTCAAGGTTTTTTTTAAGATTTATTTATTTATTATGTGTACAGCATTCCTTCCATGTATGCCCGCAGGCCAGAAGGGGGCGCCGGGTCTCATTATAGATGGCTGTGAGCCACAATGTGGTTGCTGGGAATTGAACTCAGGACCTCTGGAAGAGCAGTCAGTGTTCTTAACCACTGAGCCATTTCTCCAGTCCTCATTTTCAAGGTTTTTGTTGTTTGCTTTTATAAAACAAGTTCTTGGAGTTGGCCTCAAGGTCACTAGGTAGCCAAGATGACCTTTAGCTCCTGATTATTTCAGTCCCCACCTCCCAAGCTGTACTAGCACACCTAGCTAATTCTAACTTTTAACATAAAATTGTATATTTCCTTATAGAGAAAAAGACTGCTAATCACACATGTGCCTTCCTTCTCAAACTGATAATATTTAGGGCCCTATTCTTTCTTTCCATTATCACATTTAAGTCTATCAAACATAAATCTTTTAATTTTTAAAAATTATTTTATGTGTATGTTTTGTTAGTAAGTATTCTATGAACCATGGATGCCAGTAGAGGACACTGGATCAAGATGGAAACCACCGAGTCATTTCTCCAGCCCTACTTTTTCTGTTTGTTTTTCAAGACAGGATTTCTCTATATAGTTTGGAGCCTGTAGACCAGGCTGGCCTCAAACTCACAGAGATCTATTTGTCTCTGTCTCTTGAGTGCTGGCACCACCCAGCTTCCCCAAAACTATTTACTGATTGACAGATTGATTGAGATAGGGTTGAGAGTACTGGCTTACATGCTTGAGCCACCATACTTCACTTCCAGCTATAAAACTTTTAAATCCATATAGAATAAAAAAGACCAGAGATGATCATTTTTTCAATAGTGGTATTTGAAAATACATACAACAGAGTTCTCCTAAGAAGCCTATACCTACGAGAGCATGGATGACTGCCCTCTATGTATCTCTCTGCCCCTCTCAACAACCATCAATATTTAAGTTGAAACCAACACTGAAACTTTTTTGTAATAAACTCCGAATTTGCTTCAAAAAGAGAATATATACCAGATTTTTATACTGGTCTAATCTGACCTGGAGAATCGAAATGAAACAATGGAGTGGGTATCAGTATGGTGATTTTCCTTTCAGAATATCTTTCCTTGAAAGAACCTACTTTAAATTTTTTAATACAGCCAGATGGTGGTACACACGCCTTTTAAACCTAGAACTTGAGCCGGGCGGTGGTGGCGCACACCTTTAATCCCAGCACGTGGGAGGCAGAGGCAGGCAAATCTCTGTGAGTTCGAGACCAGCCTGGTCTACAAGAGCTAGTTCCAGGACAGTCTCCAAAGCTACAGAGAAACCCTGTGTCGAAAAACCAAAAAAAAAAAAAAAAAAAAAAAAAAAACCACCTAGAATTTGGCAGGAAGGCAGGTGAATCATCTAAGTTCGAGGCCAGCATGGTCTACAGAGGAGGTCCAGGACACACAGGGCTACACAAAGAAATCCTGTCTCAAAAAAAAAATCCACAAAAAACAAAAATCAAACAAACAAAAAAGTTTTAATGCCTTGCTTAGAGTTTAAAGAACGACTACATTGTAACTAAAACATATCATCAAATACTTCCTGTAGTGGCAAACACAAGCTATTTGTAATTACTGATATTTGCCATTATTTATATTTCCTTAAATTCTTTCATACTTACTGGGGGAGAGTGGAAAACAACTTTTCATGAATCAGCTATCTGAGCTCCAAGGATCAAACTCAGGTTGACAGATTTGGCAACAAGAGCTTTTACCCGCTAAACCATGTCATTGGTCATAATAATATAAAGGGTTGTATTATAATAAATGCATTATTATTAAATATAATAAGTAATAATAAACAGGGTTGAGTCACTGGCTTTGTAATGGAAAACTTCCCACCTGCAGTGGAGTCCACGTTCTCCCAGGCAGCTGCTCCCCCAAGCACATCATCCACCTCTTTCAGCTTTGGATACTTTCGGTTTGTTACCTGACAAAAATAAACCAAAGATTTCAAGTAATCATACAGTTTAAAAGGTGGGACACCAAACCATAACCCCTCTCCAGCATTTCCTCTACATGGTAAATGGATACAAAATTTATCTTCTTCAGAGAGCACCAAAAGCCATTAAAATGTTGGGGTTTTATGACTGGGATGTTCCCAAAACAACCCAGAGGTCCAATGTCAGAGCCCTCTAGAGACTGGAGGAAACACCAGGCAGAGCAGGAAGAAGAGTTGAGTTAAACCCTACTCTTTTCTCATACCCCTAAAACACCTAATAATCCAATATGAAAGACACAAAATAAGCCTAGCAGTATCATTTATCTGGATATCCCAGCATTCCCCGGGGACACATTTGGCTGCTTTCCTAAATTTAGCAGTCAATCTCTCAAACTTTGAAACTAAGTCACCATTCATCTTATCACAAATCCAGACTCTAAACTCCATATAGCTCTAGGAAAGTGCAAACATTAAGAATGAGGGTGGTGGTGGCGCACGCCTTTAATCCCAGCACTCAGGCAGAGGCAGGCACACAGGCAGAGGCAGGCGGATCTCTGTGAGTTCAAGGCCAGCCTGGACGAGAGCTAGTTCCGGGACAGAGAAACCCTGTCTCGAAAAACCAAAAAAAAAAAAAAAAAAAGAATGAGGTGTCACCAAGGCCTGGTGATGCCGTCTGCAATCACAGAACTCCGGACACCAAGGTAAGGAGGAACAAGAGCCGAAAGGTAAACAAAACACCAAGGGCTGAAAACCAGCTTTCCGAGTTCCGATCCTGGGAAAAAGATAACAGGAATGAGGATAAACTGGGAGAACTGGATTGTGGTTTGTTTACTTACCACAATGAAATTTATATATAAATTATATATATATATATATATATATATATATATATATGCCATGCAGCCCAGGTGAACCTTGAACTTATTCTCCAGCCACAGCCTCCCCAAGTGATAGAATTATAGGCACGTACCAACAGGCAAAAAGGCTGGAATTTAAATAGGGTAGTCATTATTTTAAAAGATAAGGAGATAAAGGAAAAGGAAGAGAGAAACAGAGAGATATACACACACCCAAAAAAGAGAGAGGGGGGCGAGGAAGGGAGGGGGAGGGGGAGAGAGCAAAAAGAGCTACAAAAAGAACATAAAGATTTGAGATGAGAGGTGATAAGCGGACTGGAGTCTGGCACGCCGGGAACAGCGTGTGGGGACTGAAGGTTTTAAAAGCGTGGTTCAGCCTAGAGGTATGAACGGAAATTCTCGCAACTTTTTTGAGTGTCACAAAACGAGCAGCACAGAGCCGGAGGCAGAAATCTCTGTAGTAACCAAAAGAACGGCTTCGATTTGGTCGGAGCGACACCACTGGATTAGCAACTGCTGGACTTGGGGAACCGCTGCTGCGAGAGACAAAAAACCTACCGCCCGCAGGAAGGTCTGAGCTCAGACAGCCGAGGAGGCGCTCGCCTCTGGTACTCACCTTGCGTGTGATATTATGCACGTAGGATTAAATGATTTATGAAATGTCACCTAGGTCTTCAATACCAAGTTAATCTGAATTTGGGAATATTAAATCATTTTTAATAAGCATGCTATCCTATGTACTAAATTGATTTTTTGACAATATACTTTTCTAAAAGGCACAGAGATGTACAAGGATTACGTATAAAACATGCTTATTAAGTATAACATAGAAACTAGTTTTATTTAATTTTATAAAATAATTATTAAATATTATATATTAGTCTTTGCACGTAGGGGCAAGTGTTGCAGGCGAAGCGATGGCAACGCTGTCCTTCCTCCACAATCAGTCCGTTTCCGCAGCTCGGACAGAAAAGCAGCATTGCTCCAGCTTCAACGTAAAGGTTCTCAATGTCTGGCGCTTCCGCCGCCGCAGACGCCCCTTGGAATCGGTCATTGGTACGTTCTCAGAAGGCACAGCGGCGGGCAGCCTCGCACACGCCATTGGTCAACGCAGATAATCCTTCCCTAGCTTTCCGTACAGGGCCTGCGCGTGCGCACGGGGCTCTCTGCCTGGAACACCGGCTGTTGACAGGAGAAGGCTGGCGGCGGGCGGCCCTGAAGTACCCTGGATCGGAGGGAGGTACCGGGTGATGAGAAGAAACTGCCACACGCCGAGCCGTGGAAGGGTTCCAGGAGGGTCTCTGAGCCGGGACTGACAGGCAGAGCCTACCCAAATGTCTCAACTGCTGTCTGCCTAACGTATGGCTCCGTTTAACCTTTTCTTCACCTGGTCTTAATTCTGTCATTTCACTTAGCTAGATTCAGCACTACAGACCAACTCTGACCTACAATACCAGCAGTTCCTCTCCACAGACCTCCAGCTGGTTCTTTTACTCGTTCCTATAGACTTCTTTACATTTCCCAGCTCTCGTTTCTCAGACCTCTTTGAAATAAATGCCTTTCCTCGTTAATCCTCTGCAGTCAACCTACACGGGGGGGGGGGGGGGGGGGGTGAGTCCTAGTTGCTTTGTTTTGTTGTTTTTTGTTAACTTTACACAAGTTAGTTATCTGGGAAGAGGAACCCCAACTGGCAAAATGTCTCTATCAGACTGACCTGTAGGTAAGTCTGTGGGCATTTTCTTGAACGTAAATTGATAGAAGAGGTCCTAGCGCATTGTGGGCAGTGTTACCACTAAACCAGTGTTCATGAGTGAAATAGGAAGGCAAGACGATAGAGCTGGATGGTTTAGCCTTTAAGAGCACTTGTTCTGCCCTGCAGTAATGGCACGCGCTTTTAATCCCAGCACTTGGGAGGCAGAGGCAGGTGGATCTCTTGAGGCCAGCCTGGTCTACAGAGTGAGTTCCAGGACAGCCAGGGATACACAGAGAAATCCTTTTGGGGGTTGTGGGGTGGAGAACTTGTTCTTGCAGAGGACAGAGATTCGATTCCCAGCACCCATAGGGTGGCGTCATAAATGTCCATAAAAACTTCAGTACCACAGGATCCAAAGCCCCTTCTGACCTCCATGCATGCCTATGGTACAAAAACATACACATAAACAAATTTCAAAACAAAATGGAAAAAAAAGGAAAGCAATATAAGCAAGCAAGTAAGCAGCATTTCTCCATGGTCACTGTTTCAGTTTCTGCACTGGCTTCAATAAACAATGAACTATCATCTGTAAGCCAAACAAACCCTTTCTTCTCCAAATTGCTTTTTGTTCATGGTGTTTTATTACAGTAATAGAAACCTAAACAAATATACATACTGTGTGGCTTTTAATGTGTGATTTAAGAATAAGTTCTTTAATATTTTTAAAAACTTTTTGTCAGCCACGATTACCAAGGAAAACAGGAATACTTCACAGTTGCTTTCACTGAAACTGTTATATCTTGTGAATTTACTGTTATTAAATAAACTCTGACATTGTAAAGACATAAATATGTTTGTCTATGATTCTGATATGGCACAATCATGGCAACTGTGAAAATCATCTTACTAGGTGTGTATGAAATGCACTGTCTTAAATATAGAAAGGTTAAATTTTACAACTAATTATTTTATTTTTTGATGATTTATTTTTATTTTGCCTGCATGTATGTTTATGTACCTTGTGCACACAGTGAATGCAGAGGCCAGACAAGGGCATCAGATATCCTGGAACTGGAGTTAGTCAGTTGTGAACTAGAAATGCAGGTGCTAGAAATGGTCCTCTAAATATAAGAGCAGACAGAGCTCTTATTTTATTATTTTTATTATTTATTATTTTAATAAAGATGAATCTAGATGTTAAAAATTGCATAGTTATAGTAGTGTCTCTGAGCCTACTCCTAACATTATTCCCCAATTGCCTTCCATTTGCATGTCAGAGCTGGGAAAGAATGATTCATCAGACATAGCTGTATATGTTCTCTCATCAGCCCAATGGTGAGCTCCAAGTCACATTCTCTAGGACACAAAAAAAAGTGTCGCTCAGATTCTTTGACAGGTTGGAAACTGACATGGGCATGATGGATTTTCATAAAGACAGAGTGAGGAGCTGTCATGAACCTGAAGTTCTACCATCTCACTTCCAACTTTAGTTATGAAGAACTGACCTAAAATACGGCTGGATGGTAGAGAGTTACATACAGTGATAGCCTGGGCAGCATCAGGTGAAATCTACCATGTAGACACTGGAGGCCAGTGCTCAGCACCTGCACAAGTATCCTCCTTGTACCCAAGTACTTACAGATGAGGGGGCTAAAGAGTGGAGCTTCCAGAGAAGGTCTCTGCTGGTAACTGTTTCTTTGAGGGATTCTTGATGTGATGATGAATTTGTGGGTTCTGATCAAGTCTGCATGTGGAAAATATAGGCAATGATGTGATTTCATAGTGGGAGACCTGGCTTGCTCCCTGGAAGAGTCAAATACTAGATCTGTTCATTAACTTGACAGTAAGGACAGGGTCCAGAACAAAGCTCTAATGCCTGCTGGACTTCTCCCACTAGTGATATCATTTCCTGTTCTTTATGCTACTAGGAACTGAGAAGCAGCTCAGTCAGGTGGGAGACCCATCATTATCTCATGCAAGGATTCTTGGCCGACAGTAGAAGTGTGAAAACAGGGTTAAGAAGAAATCTCTTTGGATGAGTGGACAGATATCAGCCTGCTGAGATACTTTAAGAGAATCACCACATAAATAATAATATTTCCTCTGAATCAAGCAAAAATAACAAGTATCTATATAAAAAGTATCCATATTAATCATTAAATTTTTTAAATATTATGGAGTGGTCAGAGTGTCAACTTGATTTTTCCATCAGTCTGGATATTTTAAAGGTTCTTAATATTGTTTTTTGTTAATTAAATGAAAACAGGCTCTTTTACAGACTCTTAGAATTATGTACTGTTTTGAAGGTAATCTGATGGATGATGGATTTTGATGGCCAATTTGAATCTAGCTTTGGGATGGCATCTGATAAACTCACTTCTACATGTGCTGGATATGCCAACACTAGGGTGTTTACAGGTGTGGAATAATTACACAATGTAAAAAAAAAGGAACTGACATTTGGAACGTGTACAAACTGCAAGCCCACTGAACAGAATGGGATTTTAGCAAGATGTAAATGTAACCAATTCCATACTCAACACAGAAGCAATGCTGAGAATAAAATGTCTTAACTACTTTTTTATTGATTCACTTGAGTTCCCCATGTGTTTCATCTCATTGAAAAAAAAAACAGTGTTTCTAAAGTTCTTAGATTTTCGACTTTAAGTTGCACATTGGCAAATCTATTTTTATGTATACCTTTGATTCTTACATTAAAACAGAAGTCACATGTTTAAAAATAACCACTCCTTAAAACAAAAGCAGTTATCAATGTTGTTTACAATACAAATCCTGAAGACATTTGATTACATTAAGATTTAGTAGTCTAAAAAAGAATGCGGTACATTATACTAAATTCTGGCAACAAAGTGTGTTTACTCACAAGAAAATTCCAATTCTTCCCTGGTTTTATAAAGACCAATCTATTTCTCACATGTTATAACTCTATTCAATTGAATTATGATTTAAAATGCAGAGTGATAACAACTACAAAATATAAATACAAAATGCTAAGAAAAGTTTATCATGTAAAGGAAAATGTCTCATGCATTATAATTTTTTTAATCCAGCATAAAGGCAAATGTGGTTTTTCAAAATGCAGCCCACATTCAATCACAGGAAAAAATTCAGTCAAGCCACCTAATATACAGACTTTACAGATTTATTTAAATTTATGTTCAAAATTCCAGTAACAAAAGTCTACCTAACAATTAGAGTTAACATCAACTAAGATCTGCAAACCACAAACATTTGCAAGCCAAGTTAGAGCATGCAATTCTCTCTGAAAGAAAAGAAGTCTGACGTGGAGTTAAAAGGCAGGTAAAAACAACTATGAACTTTCTTTAAATAGCTTATATTTAAAGTAATGTAAGTGTACATTATATTTATAATATAGGGCAATATATGTTTTACCAACTATACACGCAGACTATACTGTGTGGTAAAATGATTCAACTTAAAAAAGAAAAAGGAAAAAGATCCAAAATATCCATTTAAGCTGGAGAAATCACAAATCAAACCTCTCCCTGCAAGTCATGTGAGGCTAACCTGAAAATAAATCATAAAATCTCAGTACTTAAATCCTAAATTAACACTCTAATTTGGGCTTATTGTTAACAATTTACACTATTCTTTTCTTTGGGTTAAAAAAGATTTTTTTTAAGAGCCAGCTTTTGGAATCAGCAATGTAACTTCATGTCCTGCCCTCTGACAGCCAGAAAGGTTGCTTTTTAAAAAAAAATATTGATAGTTCTCAACACCAACACCCTGGAGATAATAAATTTCACAACTCACTGGGTTAAACTGCTCTAATGCAATGGAGCTAGTAAAATACATATATCTGTTCTTAAGAAAATTTACAAAACTAACAATTTTTTTCCAGAATTATAAAAAATAAAAATCTATGAATTGATACTCTAGTATGATCACAGAAAGATAGCAAACTAAAGTCAAGAAGTATGCAGGGAGGGGGCTGTCTGTAACACCCTGCAGTCTCTCTACTTGCTCTGAAAATTCCCATTTAAATA